GGATGCTGAAAATGCAGCGTATGCGGGAACTCCTTCAGTACTATGAGATGTCCGAGAATGGTTCAACCCTTAGTCAAAAAAGCAACAGTCAAGGAAATGAACTTCACCATCGCTCTCCTTCGACGCTAACTAATGGAGAACACCATGAAATTGCTATTTCATCCCGTGAAGAGAATTACCCCAGATCAGTCACACTGAAAAGAATTTGTCATGCTTCAGATACAATCCAAAGAGCCACCAGCCATGGAAACCGTCTAAAGCATTTGCCACCGTCTGCACAGAGAATGCGCCGGGTACCTGGCATCAACGTGGTATTGGATCCGACCCTGCAAGGCGAACAAAACGTTGGTTACTTTTGCAAGTCTTACGATGGACTTGCATGGGACCACCAAACCCTTCCTAGAATTGTTGCTGTCCATTCTGTAACAAAACACACATCGGTAAACGCTAGGAATATCGAACGTGCCCCTCCTTCCAAGCCAGCTGCTGCTACGCAGATCCCATCAACGTCCAACACTGTTGGAATGTCAGATTATTCAGCAAAGTCTCAGGAAACCCACATGCATCCCCTAGTCACGAGCCTGCAGTGTGACACCAGAAGAGGAACTTCTGTTTCTTCTGACTCACAAGATCACGATGAAGTTGAAGTCAAAATTGTAAAAGTTTGTCCTCGTGAGACTCACCGTTCAAGAAGTGTACAAAAGAGATGCCGGGAAACAAGCATTACAAATCGCACTGAATATGCAAATAGAGGAATGGAGCGTCCATCCAAAGGAGGATGTGTAAATGGTCCGTTCATCGCAAAGCCTACTGTCGCTGCAGGCTATGGTAACCACTCAGGACATTCTTATGGATGCAATAGCCGAATAGAAAGAATACGTGCTGATTCAGAGATTTACCTAAGTGGTCCTCCCTCGTACCTGCCAGTTCTTGACAATTCAGAGATAGACCAACTGAAGAAACAGAAAGCACCGCCACCCGTGTCGGCAGGGGAACGTCGAAACCGCAGTCCCGATTCACCAAAGCTTACAAAAACTATACCAGAGATCAGTGCAAAAATCATCGAGACTCGAGAGAGGATTAAAACTGAAACCATCAAGTGGAAGAAGATGTTACTGTATAAGGTGGAGAAGCGATTGATTCGGAAGTTAAGACGGGTTGAGAAAGAAACGGGTGAGAAGACAGAGGTGGAGGAGTTGCGAGAGGAGGAGGCTCCAGCGCGAGTTCCAAAGAAGGAGAGGAGGCGAAAGGGCCAAAGCTTGCAAAAACGAAGCACCACTATGGATAGCGTGACGGATGAGGATGAGGCCAAAAAATCCCCTGGGAGTGACGCTTTAGGACATTTTTCTGAAGCAGAAGAAAGAAAAGAGTCGGTTGATGTGCGAGTGGAAGCTGCACGAGACCAAGAACACGAGCAAGAGGGCATTTTTCCATCGACTGAAAGTAAAAAAGAAGAAAAACCCGCCATGGCCAGCTACTACCATAATGCTAAAGACCCCAGTACGAAAAACGGAGACTGCGTGACAAACGAACCATGTCAAGAAACAAATCCCTCTATCAACCTAGAGAGATTGTGTACAAAGAAAGGCTTGAATATTGGAGGCGCTGAACACGTCCAAACTTGCACAGCGGAAAGGAACACGGACTCTCGATTATCAGAATTCAGACATGATAAACAAAAGTCGCCACAAGATTTCCAAACTGAAAAGTATTGCGTGACAAAGAATTTGAACTCATTACACAGTGGACTTCAAAATTGTACAAAAGAAGTACGTAAAACGAAAGCAGCGGCTGTAAGTTGCGAGAGAAATATATGGGCAGTACTTAGAGGGGACGGAAATTTCTGATATTATATTGTAATTGAACGCTTTCGAGAACTTTTTCAAATAATTTCGTGCAGAAGTAACAGGATTACGTTAGGTTATGGTGCAAATTTTTGACTGAAAATAAGACACACAAAGGAGACGATGATATCAACATATATTTATTTCAATCATAAAATTTTTTTTCCTGATTGTGATTGGTTTAAAAATTCTCATTTCCGGCACCAATTCACTTGCCAAGTTGTTATCGGGCAGTTTATCATCGAACAGTTTAGTAAGCCAATAACATTCAAAGTTGTAGTTTAAATCAACCAATCGCATTTAAAGTCGTAGCTTATATCAACCAATCACAACACTAAACAATTTAAGCCTCCTTTGTCAGTCTTTTAATGCAAATTGTAAAACAAATGAGGGAAAAAATGAGAGAGGTTTGCAAGTGATCGGTCGAGACCCTAGCGGCTGAAAAATGATGCCCAATTTATTGAGATTGATCCATCGACATTGTTCATCTTAAATCCTACAGGTTTTTCTACGAATGTGAGTTTTACAACTTCAAATATTTATGATCAATAAATCATGTTGAATTTCAACTTTCGCATCGCCATCGCTGTGACAACCTTGAACTCGGGTGTATTTTAAGTTTGGTTTGAGAAAACAGGATGCTTGGGACGACATAGTTATCAAACTGTAGAAATCATCAAGTTAAAACTGTTGAGCCCGCATTCTTTATTGTTGTGACAACTGAAATTTTTCGAAATACAATCGATGTGCTGTACAACCCCCCTGGCAAGCAGGAGCAAATTTGCGGTTTGTCATACTATTCCTTAATTAAAAAATATTAGTTGCTAAAAAACAAAAGTTTTTGGTACAAAAAAAGTTTTTTGAGTCCATAAAAGTGACAAGGTGGATGAAGATTCTACAGACCCCCATTGGTATCAGTATGTTAGCGATACAGAGCTCATGGCCTCATTACAGACCGTTGTACAAAGCCAATGAACCTTATAAAAGTACTTTACTTAAAAGTACTTAAGATTCCATATCGGATTTAATCATGACAAACTGTCAGTGCTTAATCAATAGGTTTTATTAAAATGGTTTGTCATTTCCTGATTGAATAGATACCTTTTCTCGTTTAAATGTTACAAATCAATTCCTACAATTCAAACCAAGGGCATAAATTTCATTCCTCCATAGAGAATTTGATATTCTATTTAAAAAATTCTTCTCTCTCCTGAGTGTTAGGAATCCCTCTCAGTTGGGAGAACCGCTGGCATTCAAACCAAGGCCTTGTATTTCATTCCCCTTAAAATTATTTCTTTTTCTGTGTGCTCCACTTTTTCTTTCGTAGCAGAGGACTTCTTGGATTTTTCTTCACACTGCTCAATTGAACAGCACACGAATCGCAGAAATACAATAAATGCAATCAAGGCTACAAGGCAGGCTAGAAGAATCAGGCCATCTATGTTAGGATTGACTTGTTTTTTACCAGAGTCGTTTTCATCTTTCCTCGTATCACTTCCCTTGGTATCTTGTATCTCCATGTTCGTACCGTCCACCGCACCGATTTCTCCCTGGTCTTTTCCAAGCGAAGTAACTCGTTTTCTACTCTTCACCGCGGGTACATTGTCTTCATCAATATTGCCATCTTCACTCCAAGCTGCATTTGGAGCTGTTAACAACAAAAACATTGTGGCAAGAAATAATTTAAAATACGCCATCAGTCTTGTGCATGTACTTACACGATACTAAGGAATTACATACGTTGGCAGAGTAATCATTGGTTTGATTTGTCCGTGCAAAGCGTGTGAAGCTGCCACAGATTCGTCAATATTTTATTCAATGGCTTGCGGGTAATTTTTTTCTTGAAAAAAAAAAAGAGAAAATAAATGTAAAAGTGTGTTGAATTTACGACCTCAGGGAAAATTAATTAATGGAAGTTATAATCCTGATGTAATGCAAAGTTAATTTTCCTGTGCCCCAGGGTTGTTCTGAGCAACAAACAAAGAAAGCTAGCACTTCCAATGTTACCATCAAATTAAACTTCCGATAAAATCAAATATCGAAAGCTCTCTACATATTACAAATGCACTTGAAATTACACAAGTTGCGGCAGTTTTTGACGCCTGCAAGGCTGTAAGCAGCTGGCCCCTGAACTAATACATTACTATGCTCTTACTGTAAGAATGACTCTACTGTTTTTCTCGTCCTTGTGGCTCTTTAGGTCGCTCAGCACTCGCATTAATTCCTGCAGCTATGTGAGTTCGACTAATGAAGCCCTAGCTAAATGATCAAATATTTTTGCCCAACATTATATTTAACTGTTTAGCCGCCTATCCCGACATTGCATTTAGATAGTTTACCATTTTTGATCTACAGATCAAACCTTTTCACTAAATTTCTGCTTCACGAAAGAATATTTGAGCGCATAGCCACCCCCATATTGTGGGCGACAAACTCGCTGTTGACCGAAAACTTTTGCTCTTCAGCCGGATCTTAACAAAAATCCTTTGTGAGGACATGGAAAAGGAAAGAAAGAAGAAAAAAAGGCAGTTTTCACAAATTGGAATACTTGCTCAGCCGACTTAAAAAAAACTATAAACATCAGCCGAACAAGCGAGCAGCAAAGATTTTTTACATGCAAAAAGATCAATTTCGCATAGACTCTAAGGTTTTTTTTGTCCCGCCAGCAATCGATGTTCAGTGTACAATGGTATTTTCCGATCTAGGCAAGCCACTCAAAAAAGAAACCCTTTCGTATCGGTTTACATCGGAGACGAAGATTTCTCGAGGGCAATTTCAACCAAACCGTCGGACAATCGTCTAATGTTCGGGCTATTGCCTTCGATTGTTGACTTTAGGCAGGTCACCCGTTGTTTTTAAGACTGGTTTAACGTCACGGTACGATTGCTTTCATGCAAATTCTCATACATTCAAATTAAAAGAACTAGAATTCACGCTTAAACTTGACAACAACTCAAGACTTTGGTGAAGAGTCTCCTTTGAGAGTGATGGAGTTCTAGATTGAACTTTGTAGCTCGTTTTTCTAGGGTGGTTGACAACGAATGGATTGTATTATCAAAATGGAATTTGGTGGTTCATCCATTTAACCTACGTCATTGGTATTGTTTGGCTTCTAATCAATTTTAATGTATTGTTTACCAAGAGAAAAGGGGGAAAACTTGTGAGAAAAATTGAAAAAGATTATTATACCTCTGAAACTATCAAGAGCTTGGTTCTTTCTTGGGAGAGTAAATTGACGAAAGTGACTTGGCAACTGTTGGGAATACAAAGAAGTTAGGAAAAAGATGGCGATCTCTCGAATGAGACAGTGAAGTCTAAACCATTGTGGTGTTATACTTCGTCAAGATTTTGTGATCGTAGATTATCGTTTGGATTGGATCGGCGTAACACAGACAAACCAAATAGGAAAATATGGACAATCTTTCATTTTTCGTGACCATCATAGTTTTAGCGCTAGCCTTCTTAGTAACGACACCAGCAAGAGGTAAGCCATGGAGACGTACTTAGATTTTTAACCTTATAATCTATATGGCGATCGTAATGTTCTTATAAAATGGTTTTTACCCCCGCCGCTAAATATAGAGGGTGATGGTTTTCGTCCCAAATCGCGGGAATTCGACGAATATATCTTTAAACACTTTCATTCAAGCAAATGTAACATTATTTACTGATTTTCCAGTGTTGGTCTGACAGGTTTAAAGTCTGATACATTTAACAGCAGTGCAATTAATTGCACACAAGTCCGATAAATTTTCGCTGCAGGTCGCCATTTCGGGGCATATATCTCTCTATACGTTAGGCCTCGGAAATTTATGTTACTGAAGTTGTACTTAAGTGAAATGTGTTGGTGTGAAAGTTTAATGACCTTGAAACTTAAGATTTGTCTTTTGCTCTCATCAACAGGAAATGACTCATTCTTTGGTCTTTATAGAAGTAAGTGAATGAGATTATATAAAGTGTTTAACATAAAAGACGATAATTGTCAATTCGATAAGTAAAACTGGTTCATTTCCTTTTCATGTAAGCTACACGTTCTGGTCCTCCTCTCGCCATAAATCAAAACCCCGTATGTAGAAAAGCCCAGCTTCTGCACAGCGACGTGGTACAAAATGCTACCCTGGAAGGTCAGCTGCACGCTGGGAATTTCACGTTTCTCGGTGCAGTCAAAGACATGGAAGAATGTATGTCGTTATGTTGCGCCAGTAAACGTTGTCAACTGGCATATATGGATAATGCCAAATGTTATGGCGTCAAGTGCTACAGCGAAGAATTGTGCAAGATAACAACTGGTATCTCAACAAATGACGTCAAGATATCTCTTATGGTCAGAAACGATATAAATAGAAAAGGTAAGAGTTTCATTTGTCGTGATTATTAGAAAAGAAAAATGAAAATAAATAAAAATAAAATAAAAATACAATTTGTACGTTCAAGAAGTGACTAGCATCTAATTTGTCTTTTCAATATCAGTACTGAATCAAATATTCAGGTTATAAGAGTTAAGGAAATGAATAAATTCTCCTGTATCGATTTTCTAGGAAATGAATAGATTAGAGTATAGAGAATATACATTCTGATGTTAGTTGTGAAGGCTTCAACGTTGACATACTATGCAGCAAACAAATAACGTTGAGAAAAAACCTTCATCTAAAGAATATTGTTTCATTTGACACCAAACTCTCGTAAGCAACATTAGGCAAATGAACTATGACCAGAAAGGAGAATTGAGTCTTTGATATTTGGGGGTAGAAAAATGCTATATGTACCACTAAAGGATATCCTTTCTGTTACATACTGAGTCCTCACTGATTCCTATCAACTTTGTTTTGGTCTACAGCTTACGTTACAGCATACATTGTCGTGGTAGTTGTAGCGTTTGGAGCCGCCGTTTCTGGTACAGTTTGGGCCGTCTTTATTTTTGTCAGAAGGTAATTTCGGCTAATATGTAATATTTTTTTCTTTTTTTTTGTACTTTAGAAGTCACCTAATAGAGTTTCGCTTCACCTTTGCAATTCTTAAAAGTTTGTTAGAAATAAACTTTGAAGCAACAGGAAATATATGTCCATGCTGGTATTAAGGGGCAAGGAGAAATAAGGATGTAAATTCATGTCAAATACTCTGATGTCACCCCCACAAGATGTAAAGTTCCTCGTTAACTATACAACTGTGCGCCAATATTTTTTAGGGACCGTTCATCATTTATCACCACGGGTGGGGTAGGTTGAAGGATTTTAAATACCCACAATAAAATTTATCCGATACCCTTTTAGGCTCTTTAATATCCTTATGTTCCCCCTTGTTTCAGTCAATTTTCTAGTCCCTCTTTGTACACCGTAAGCGACAATTTAATCCCCAGCTGTTCCCCCTGAAAACCGTGTAATCCTCTTAAAATTCTCCAACAACCCCTCCCAACTCCCTCCCCTCCCCAGGCGAAGAATGCTAACCGGTCTTTACTTCATTACGGTCTGACATCAGATATCGAGAGACTGGTGGAACAAAATCAAAAGAGGATGAGGGCGAAGAAGGAGACATGAATGCCGAGCCTAAAGTGAGTGTTCTTTAATTTATTTGTTTTAATTTGTCAGTTTGTTAGTTTTTTTGACGAATCAAGTGTTCCGTAGAGAGTACATGCTTAAATCATGGTGAAGGCTGGAATATGAAGGTTTCGACGAAGTTTTCTTCAATTTTAGTCATAGTCACTCTCTTTCTATGAATACAATTTCTGCTCTTTGTTAAAGCTTTCTTCATTGGCAGAACATATCCCCACGCTATTCGCCATTGTATGACTTTTAAACATCAGATCTAGAGTACCCAAACAAACGAAGCGGGAAAACAGTCCATTGGAGACTATTCTTTTAATAACCTAACCTAGGTATCCTTCTGCTGGAAAAGTGCAAACGAAACAATAAGAAAAGATAAAATGCAAGCTATTAAAGTTTATAAACGTTAGGAGGTTGACAGCGAAACAAGTTGCGTGATCATTCTAGTATCTTTTAGGGTCAGGATTGGCCATTATGTGACAAGTTTTTCTCGTGTTCTTTTTCCATAGGTTTACTGACTTATAGATAGAAGACACTGAAGAAAAACTTCAAATCCAGAGGAACAATTAGACGTTATTTAGTAAAAGAGTCAAGGCTTCCTAAAGAGCCGACACTGTCATGTTGTTGTGATTCATGACGGCAACAATATTATCAAGAAAATTAGAAATAATATACTGACGAGGTCTGATATTTCGATATGATACGAGAAGATCTCTTGACCAAGGAAATGAAGGGTGGTTCAGCTACCTGTTAAACAAGTTTCGAAAACTTAATTTGAAATCAAGAAACACTTTCAGATATATGAGACGCGATCAATTCTTTAGTGAAGGATTGAGAAAAAATGGTGCTTGAATATCTTCCAAATTTGACAGTTTTGATACCGGTTTTATTGCAAAGAGCGAGGGAAACATGAGCCATAGACCTTTGCTGCCAACTGAGTTTGTTTCTTCCTATCGACGAATCAATTAAGGCTATATTAGTCGTCAACTAAATGTAATAAAGCAAACCAATATTTCAAACATATAAATGTCTGTCGAGATGGTCATTACCTTCGATTGAAATCTTTACAAGAGGTGACCAGTCTTTATAGGTCAAGCTGAAAGTTGACAATCTCTCCACACGCAGAATGTTTTCAACATTGCTGATCGTAGCAGGTATCTTATCTGATGAGTCACTTGATGGAATGCCAGTCGTTCAGTCAATCAGACACTTAGTAGAAAATCAGACAGGACAGGTAGAAAATTATGGTGCAATAATGTCAATTAATTGAGATTAAAAAAAAAAAGTTAAGGAGAAAAAAACCCGATAAAATAGGCTATTTGGATTAAATTTATTTACAGGATTGATTTTTACAGAACAATATTTCTCTGACGAATTGCTTAACCAATGACTGTCTCAAATTACGCTTCGCTAATACAGTCATTCAGTCGTACATCACTTGTAACAAGTAGATCAGATGAAATTATTTCACCTGTTTTATATGTTATGATCATGATAGTCACCATCACCCAGATGTTCGGGTCGTCGTTCGGTCTCTGTTCGGATGACTTTCGGTTTCCATATTGTTGCTTGGATCGTCCCACTGTCTACGTGAAGCTACAATACACAGCGGAGCTAACAATTGAGTGTTGTAAAACCAGAACCACCGTAAAATCTATAGCCAATCAAATCGAAGATAAATTTCTTTGAGAATCAATGGGTGTTCAATTTAAAAACGTGAAATTTGCCATAAGCGCGGGAAATCGCCTCAGTGTGTCCAGGGCAAAATTTTTTTCAGTTTTGCATCGGAAAGGATTGTACGAGGTTTCTGGACTAATCAGAGAACAAGGTAAGGCCATACCGAAAATATCCTGGATTACTTTTGACACTCAATATTGAACAGTGTCCTTACAGTAATTTAAAATCAATCTGAACTACTATTGTTGCGTCTGTGAAATATCTCGATTTCTGAAGAACACCTGCCATACCCTTTGAAACCAATATTCGCTCAGGCACTCGAGTTAATTCAATTAAACTAAGACAGAAGTAAAGCAATTTCCAATTGAATCTACAGAAAAATCCGAAATTATTTTGGCTTTGCTTTACTTTCGTTATGTGATTGGCTCAGAAAAATAGCGCAACTTTCTTACTCGATCAGATTCAAAATTAAAACAATCGTTTGTTCTGATCGACCTTTTGGAATTTCTTTAGTTTCGGTTTTTTAACACTGAATTAAAAACTGCTCTGATAGAAGTAATTGCGACCAACTTACTAAATATATCATATCTTCTGCAAAGTCTTAATTACGTTACTTTTGATGTATCTTCGCTATAACCTGATATTCTATGTACGTATATACAATCAGCTACATTTTGGCTTGATATAAGAAATTTGGTAAACCTAGATTGGGAAAAATGCATAGAATGAATAGTCACTGTTTATTTACACTGTTGACAGACAGTTTACCGTCTGTGAACAGTAAAAAAAAATATAAGTTTACCATTAAATGTGTTTCTTTTGACTGATAATATGTGAAAAAAGGCAAACATTTTTGGCTACAGTTAGCCTCGATGACGACATCTACCAGGGGCGAGAATCTCTGGCTGTGGTTCCTTCCTTTCAACTAAATCACGGCCTTAGAATCATAAACTACTTATTTCAAATACAATTCAGCATTTTTAGCCACTCTATGAGTTTCATACGCGAGACGTGTAACGTCTAACTATAATGGTTAGTCGCAATAATTGTGTCCCCCAAGCTTAGAATCTCGCCCCAATGTTACTTTTGCGGTGCGGTGCGCCTGTCGTTTAACTAAATTGAGGCATTGAAGTTCGGTTAAATTCAATTCTACTTACATTACTGTGGTACTTTGCCGCACCATTTTCCCGTGAGAGCCGGCTTAAGTCTATGTTGTTATGTAGCACATTTCATAATGGCTTTTTTCCATAGTTTTTATGAATCCACAAAGCTTTGAATTTCTCACGCTCATAACACTGAAAGGAAATTTTTTTCTTATTTACCAGCCCATGAAATTGGCTCGAAATGAAAGTTGTTGCGAGCCAGTTTTGTTAGATATGATATGTTAGATATGGTTAGATAGATACACACGCATTGCGCTCCTTTACAAGGAGAAACGAAAATTTTGTTACTAGAGCTGAACAGCTGTTGAGATTTCATTTGCTTTAAAATGATTCTTTAGTCTACAATTTTGATTTATGAATAATTTTTCAAAGTACAAATTTCTTGTAGATTTGTTTAGCATGTGCCTCCACATCAGCGTGTTTAAAAAACAAGGTAAATCGCATCGCATTATTTGATTCGTTTACTTTTTCCCTTGGAGTTTTCTGTTAAGCATTGATGCGCACTTGAGCCACTTTATGAGTTTCACACGCGGTACATGTAACGTCTAACTAAAGTGAAACATTTTTCCCAGTAAACCAATATAATTTGTTCCCTAAGCTTAGAATCTCACCCCGCTGTTACTTTTGCGGTGCCTGTCATTCAACTAAATTGTGGCATTAAAGTTCCGTTAAATTCAATTCTACCTACATTACTGTGGTACTTTGCCGCATCATATTCCTGTGAGAGCCGGCTTGTATCAATGTTGTTATGTAATGCTTTGCGCATTACGTAATGACATTTGTCCATAGTTTTTGTGAATCCACAAAACTTTGAATTTCTCATGCTCATAAAACTGAAAGTAATTTTTTTTCTTATTTGCCAGCCCATGAAAAGACCTAAAAGAATCAGCTCAAAATAAAAGTTGTTGCGAGCCAGTTTTGTTTCATAGGGTCATGTATATATACACAGTTTATGGCCCTCATTTACAAGGAGAAGCGAAAATTTTGGCACTAGAGTTGAACAGCTGTTGAGATTTCATTTGTCGTAAAGGAATTCTTTCGTCTACAATTTCGAATTATGAAAAATTTTTGAAAGTGCAAACTTCTTGTAGATTTGTTTAGCATGTGCCTCCAAGTCAGCCTGTTTACAAAACAAAGTAAATCGCATCGCATTATTTGATTCATAAACTTTTGCCTTGGAGTTTTTGTTCAACATTGACGCGCACTGAAATGAATTAGTCTTTTTCAATTACGTTGAATTATGATTACTGACCAAAGCAGTCAAGACGTAATAGCAGAGAAAGAAATGCGACAAAAAAATCTTGTCGCGCTCATTATTAACTTTGTAACAAATAAATAACGAATGATCCTGACGGATGAACTGAAATGGAGAAAGTTGTAGGTATTGAGGCTTGAAGAGAATTGGGAGTCGACAGAGTTCGAACCCATGCGTCTCAGATACTAGTTAGGCGCGACTACCAACTGAGCTACGAACTCTACTGAAACCGGTGGTGGAATAAAAAGTCTCCTATGTAAAGAAATCTGACCCATTCATTTCTCAAAATCCGACCTTGTGAGAAGAGCAACTGAAAGTCGACTTTTTTCATTTATAACATACACAAATTTTGATCTGCGTAATTTCAGATTGGCCGGACGGTTTTTCTTCATGGGTCACAGCTGTTTTGCTTTTCTACGTTCCTACAGGGTGTGCGACTGCAATTGTTTTCAGAGTTCCAGATCGATCCCGAAGGTCATAGCCTTTGGAACCAACGATAAAGAGATGACCACTGTCTAGTCCAAGTAAGGAGAAGGTTCTTCAATCATGCTGCTCAGCTACCGTTCCAACTGGATTACCTCGACAGGCAATTCTCGCAGCAACGGGCGGGTGGATGGGTTAAGGTTTCCTGAGTCGTAGTATCTTTAGAACAGCATTCCTAAAACGGCGGTCTCGATACCAGTAAATTAAGGGAGTCAGCAAGGAATTTAATTGCACTAGCGTCTCTGTCAGACGGAAAGCTGAGTTCGACTGTAGTGGGGCCGGGAATATTTCTGAAAAAATGGAGATCAACAGTTTTGGAAGGAAGGATGAAAAGATAACAAGCGTGAGCAGTCCACATATCTTGGCCGTCTTCGATTCCATTTTCTGATTTGCAGTGAGTGGTACAATCTGGTTTTTCTTATGCTTTCGTACTCCAAGATACACCAAGATGTTATAGTAGGCAATGATTATCACACAAATTACCATCAAAGTACATTCGATGGTCATCCACATGTCGATGATCTCCATATCTTCCACCGTTACTGTCAGAATAGTAGCGGGAAGGTCTGTAAACGCGGCTACCAGCCAAGCAAATATCGAGAGTTTTATGAGAAGGCTCTTTGAAACGAGTACCTGATATTGAAGACCTTTCCGTATCGCTACGTTTCTCTCCCATGCAATGGCAGTCAAATGATACAGAGACAATATGGAAAGGAAATAAAGAACAGTGATATTAGCCAGGTCTAAATCACAAATATATTCGACAGGCATCTGGCGGAGAATTAGCACGTCCACCGTCGCAGATAACGGCATCGATACAGCGCCGACGAGAAGATCTACAAGGGCGAGGCTCCTGAGCAGAATATTGGACAATTTTTGCAGGTCTCTCCGTTTTACAACCGTTACGATCACTAACAGATTCATAAGAATTGTAACGGGAGAGAGAAGTATTATGCTTCCCACAATGATCCAAGGGAAGGTAGTATTTTCTAAGTCCCAAGTAAAAAATTCATATTGCGAGCAAAAGAACACTGACCTATCAGTGGAGAAATTGTTGTTTGCTGTTTCTCCAGTGTCTGGTTCCATTTTGAGGCTTGTTTGGTGACTTTTACGCTTATCAGGTCTTCGATGATCGATCAGTGAGAAGCTTCCGAGAAATCACAGCAAGCCAAGGGAAGATCGTCATAAATACGGCAATCTTTTGGTCACCTACGCTTGTTTCTTAAGCCGCTTGTTATCGCCCCATCTGTGTAGAATAATATTTCTCACACAGAAGATAAATATATGAGTGCCATGATTACAAGTAATAAACACCATCGTTCTTGAGTTGGGTGCTGTCAATCAATAGAAACAGCCGGATAGTGGACTAATAAAAAAAATTCAGTGATGAATAAAAGGGGTAAGTTTTACCGTTGATACTTAACAACTATTTACTGTAAATGAGGTGGCTAGTGGTGAATAATAAAGGAATTGAGAGTTTTAGTAGCCAACCAGAGTGCACCTTCACCGCTGTCCACTGTTTTATTATATACTTAATTTTTTTTGGCTTCCCTTCTCCGCCCCAATAACTCTTTCTGCCAGTTTTTTTAGCATTTTAATCTCAAATATAAGATGAAATTGATGAACTTATTGCATTATACAGAAAACACTATAGATATAAACAGATGGAAGATATTTTTGCGAACTACAAAAGAACAATAAATGCATT